TCCCTCTCTTTTTTCTCTCTCTCCCTCCCCTCTTTCTTTCTTTCTTTCTCCCACCCTTGCCCTCTTCTTTCTTTCTTTCTTTCTCCCACCCTTGCCCTCTTTTTTCTCTCTCTCCTTTCACCTCTCACTCTCTTTCCCCTCTACCTCTTTCCATGTCTTTCTCTCACTCTTACTCTTACTCTCTATCTCTCACCATCCCTTGCTCATCATCTCTATCTCTCCCTTTCTCCCCCTCTTCCTTCCTTGCTCGTTCCCTCACTATCTTTCTCTCACTCTTGCTCTCTGTCTCACACCATCTCACATTCTCATCATCTCTCGCTCTCTGTCTCTCAGTAATACAATGTATGCTCTACAATAGTTTCTGTTTCCTGATCATAACAATAAAAAATAAATCAGGAGCTCCAAGCCAAGAACAACATAACAAGAGTTATCTCCCTTGATATTTTTTTCCCCTCACTTTGCAAAAACTCTGATTGGATTTTTTTTTTCTTTATCAATTCTTTTTTTCAATGTAAATACATTTTCATCCATTGTATTTCTTGCAGTAGAAAAAATGATTTCTAAGACTGAACAGAGTAAAAAAGACAAAACAAAAATGAGGTTTCACTCTGAAAAATATACAGAAAATGTATTCGGATGATGGTCAATGACAAGTAGAAGCTGTTTTCTACCAAATGGAGAACTGTTAACAGATTGATAGTTTTTATTTGAATAAACAAAATATCAAAGCTCTTCTTAGCAGACAGTGAATACATTCTGTTCAGTTATTTCCCACTTCTGATAAAAAAAAAAAAAATCTGAATACATAAAAGGAAAGAGTTAAATTTGTGATTTCTACTTTAGGTGTGTGAAATTTGAAGGGTTTGCCGATTAAATAGACCAAATCTAAAAGGATAGTTATCTTATTGAACATAAATCGAATCCGTTCCACACATTTGACATTTTTCTCAGCATAATGTGGAAAATGAAGATATTTTTTGTCATAGAGATTTGGTTGCTTATTTTTAAAAATTACCCCCCCCCCAAATAATTGTAATAAAAGTATTTTACTGAAAGATATTAAATAAAGAAATATTTTACAGTTATTTTATTCTAAATAGTGTTTGGAATATATATCTTAACCCATTAATGTCCATCGTTTTTAGGATGATAAGTTTTAATGGATTAGAATTAGAAACCTGGGATTGACACCAGCATTATTTTTTTTTTTTTACTTAGAATTGACACAGACCTTTTTTTATAAACTTACAATTGACACCAGAATTTTTCATAAACTGAGTGGCTTTCAAACTTTCCACTGGGTGAATTCTTATATTTAAATAAAACTATCAAACAAAAATTTACAGTGGCATTTAACTTTTCAAAAAGAGGGTGATTGAAAAGTAACTCACCATTTTAATATATTTAAAATTTTAAATATAATTTTTACAAGAAATAGATATTAGAGGAAAGCGTTTAGCATGAGGTTTTATGTAAGATTCAGGTTTCACTACTAGCTTCTCGAGTTGCCCAAGAATCACATCAACTGATTTCACCAGGAACTCTTGTGCTATGGAAGACATAACTTCTTGTATTTGACCTTCAAGTTCTTCCAAAGGCTTGGTTTGGTATAGTGGGTTTGCTCCTTTAACTAACTCCAAAGAAAAAAGTCACAGGGTGTTAAGTCATGACTCCTGGCTGGTCACTCATGCATAAAATAAGGAGTTACTTTTCAATCTCACTGTGTGTATATATATATATATATATATATATATATATATATAAAGGGAAGAAGTTATAGTTGTTCTAATGAGAAAAAAGTGTATATATTAAAAAGAAGAGAGAAACTTTCTTGGACCAATCTTAATTGTTTTATTACCCTTCAAGCAGAAGAACTTTCTCACCGCCAGTCCAAGAAAGACATTTGTGTCACTACCACACAAAAAAGCGAATGTTTAATTTCGAAAAACAAAGAAAATTAATTTATTATTAAATTATTATTAATTTTAATATGTGAAAATATCCACTCTTTGCCTGAAGAAGGTCGCAAGACCAAAACACGTTGCAAAATTATGGAAAATAAAGCATAATATATATTTAAAAAAAAAATCCACATTACAGACAAAGATATTTGCGTTTTCTCTTTTCTTATATATATATATATATATATATATATATATATATATATATAAGCATAGATACAAGGTAAAAAGAACACTGTTGGTTACTGATAAATTGTATGATTTGGTTGAGTCTATCATGCCAACTATCACAGTCTGAATGTCATTAGGGTGGCATTCTGTGTCATAATATAGCTGGTCAATCCATCTTGCTCCATGGCTAGGTATCTAGAGCAGTGGATCACTTGCAAGTTCTTGTTTTGCTCGCCAGCAATGTCCTGTAAAGTGCATTCTGAGCTTGTATAAGATTGTAGAAATATCAGGGATCGGTTCATAGAGCTGTGAATTTGTTGGATGTTATCTCCAAGAGATGTTAAGTTAGCTCTCAGCATCTGAGTGTAAGTTCCATCAAACTTAGAAGTGAGAGGTGGCACATTTCACTGATAAATCCTAGAGCTGAAAGTACTGTAAAATACTAATAAATACTGTAGGCAAGCATACTGTTGGATACTAAGAAAGGTACAAAACATCTTACAAATATTCACCATTCTTTTGCGTCCTCACAAGTATGTATGAACATACCTATTTTTTTACTAATCAGATATTTTCATGTTTTTTTTAATCAATTTCACCCCAAGCAAAGCAATAAAGTCATTAAGACACAAGGAGTTACTGGCTGTGGAAGAATTAGAAAACAGAAACTTTACAGGAGTGAGAAGAAAAAAAGAGTAATCAGGAGGACAATAGATAGCAATTGATACTGCATTTAAACTTTTAAAAATTAAAGTTGGCTGGAAAGCATGGAGCCAGAATGGTGTTCCACAAGTGGGAAGTGCAAGAGAAGAAACTGTTAGCATAGAATTTACAGCTACATCTAGCTGCTTCAACAGTAAATTGATGAGATCTTGATGCCAGTCTAGTACTGTGCTTAAATTCAAAAAAGTCTAGGTACCTTAGCAAAGAGCTAATCTAAACAATTACCATGAAAGTATATGTAGAAATGGTACAATAAGGCCAACCTTATGGTAGTGGGGAAGTGACTGGAGCCAAGTTGCCAGATCAGGACTGATAATATTGCTTCTTCTTTGGATTTTATTAACGAGATCAAGGTAAATAGCAGGGGCACTGGTCTATATGTGGCAGCAATATTCTAAGCATGGGCAAATGGTAGACTCATAGATATGTATGATGGATTCTGGAGATATGCTTGAAATACTTCCATACATGTAGGTTGAAATATGTCAATCTATTTGTCCTGTGTATCTATGCCTTCCTTGGCTAGGTAGTATCAGTGATAGGTTTGCTAAGCAGGTTTTTACTACAGTTTGACATTGTTACTTTCCGCTAACACTTGTGTTGTTTTCTCTGCTAGGCCTGTCTTTCTGTCTATGCATAAGGATGTTCTCCCTCCACATCATAATAGTTCATTAATTTATTCCTTTAAATGTAGTTGCAGTTCGCACTATATAGGGAGAACGACACAAAGGCTAGATGCTAGAATAAAACAACATCTTCCAGCAAAAATCCAAAGCAGGAAGTACACTCCCTCGGACATTCTGACCAATACACATGGGTCTTCCATCACTGAACACCTTATAAATAACCATAATTGTGCTGTTAGTTTTAGTGGTGATGCTTTTATCATCCTTAGCAAGTCCCACTCAAATTACCACCTAAAAGTGTTGGAGGTCATCTATATTCTATCTTTAAAGCCTTCTCTTTGTAAACAGAAGGACTAAAAATATTATATTAGTTGGAGGCCTAAATATTAGGCCTCCAACTAATTACCATTTAATTTTTTTTTCCCTACCAATAAGCTTCGTCCATTGTTCTTTTTTTACCTCGATTTAGCTCTGTTGAGCAAAGGTACGAAACCGGTTAGCTAACCTGTTTTTCCTTTTTACTTTTATTATCATGAGTGGTAATAATAAAACTAATTTTTGTCTATTCATGGTTTTGATAAAATTTTGTACCACCAAACATATCTTTTAAATATATAAATATACATTTGTGTAGAAATATTTCTGGTGATATATCTACATACTTACTTGTATAAGAGCAATGCCTGTTGGTATTTACTCTTTGATACTATCTTCCAGAAATAACATATTCCACTTGACGCATGTAAATGCATTACTTGTTTTATTGATTATTATTTTCAAATTACATTTCCCTGTTCTGTATCTCACAACTTTGCTGATGGAACAAACATCCGGTCAGTCAATCTCAATTTGACTTTGTCTTTTTTTTTTGCTTTGTTTTTTGTTACAATTTTGTCTTTCTTTTTGTCAGTTTTTTTTTTTTTTATTTTAAATTCTGACTGGTTCTAAAATTCTGTTCCAATAAACTTTTAGCAGGAATGGTTTTTAGTTGACAAGTGTTGCTGTCTTCTATAGTTGGATGGGTGTTCAGGGTGGGCATTGGCAGTAAAGGGTTTGCACCAAATCCAATCTGCTGTTTTTATTTTACAATTTCATTTCGCATGTCAATGTAAAATTCAGATCAATTTGTCTCCAGTACTATTATAAAAAGAAAAGATAAGAAGAAAGAAAGAAAAAAAAAAAAAGAGGAAGTGAAAAATTTTTTTTTTCTTTGATCAATCAATGAGTAGTGACGTTTTTTTTTTCCTTAAAATTTTTCTCTGAGTGACAAGAATTTCAAAGACTCCCATTTTTGTTTGTTTAAAGTTTTCTGTGGTATATTCAATTTTTACACTGTGACTTTTATCATTTAAGTCAACATTTGCTTTGGTGGTTTCTTTATTTCTACAAGAATTAGGAAATTTTTCTTCTTTGCTACCATGAGCCAGTGCTTCTCCTATTACTATATCCCATCCAACAAAAGAAAAAAGAAAATAAAGAATAGAAAAAAAAACCTACAATCAAAAGTAAAGACTAGTAGAAATTATATGATTTTTTTTTTTCTCATTCTGTCCTTGTGTTAAGGCTTTCAGTCTTATTTTAAGTGATTGCTGGGTTGAAAGCAAGAGGAACTTCTACAGCTGCTTCTTATTTTAGGCAGCATGGAGCCATGTTGAACTAATGAGATTGAGGAATTGGAGAACCGAATTTGAGTTCTGGTCGAGTTTGTTGCATTTGCTTATGTGGGAAAGGTTAAGAAGAACATAAAGAAAAGAGTTGATTGGTTAAGAATAGACCATTGCCTTAAATGAGTTAAATAATATCACATCTCTGGAAATATTTTAATATTGGCTTTACTAAATAAAAGTAAAAATCTAAAATGAATGCACCCTCTGTCCCATAATAAAGGCTGCCCCCCCCCTGGAAATTTGGTACAGTTTATTTAATTGTTGGAATTTTCATTTTCTACCACAATTTCCGAAAAGTGTACTCCCAATGATGTTGGGTATCCCCAAGGTTTCCTGTGAAGCAAAAAAATTCTTGAAAATGAGCGTATCAACCACTGATGTCGCTCTCGTCTACCTTCTTTTTAGGGTAAGTAAAGCCTATCTAGATAGAAAAGGAATTCACTATTAAAAATAGAAAAGGATGTAAGACAAGGATGTCTCTTCTCACCAGACTTGTTCAACCTATACAGAGAGGTGATTCTGACAGAATTAGAAGTCCTACCAGGAATCATTTTTGGCAGCTACAATCTTGTGAAACAGACATTTTTTACCCCCTTGCCTAGATGTTACAACAGGTGTAGTGGATATGTACATACAATACACTCACCAACTAGCTAGCTAAGGGGGGAAATGGCTATATAGCCAAGATGGAAATGCCAAAGACGAGAGGAGGAACCCAGATACCAAACAAAAAAAATAAAAGAAGCATCTCTAGAATGTTTCGCTATTAAATATGAAATCAAACTATTTTTCTCCAGTGTGCCTCTGTAGCCTACTCAGGAGTTGCTTACTTTAGACATTAACTCGTATATATATACTACAGTTCAGAAGTTTGAGGAAACCTCTGGCATTTTTTTTTAAATTGGTCCCAAAAGTAGTTGTTTTGTACTTTAAATAAGAGAAACTTATTATACATGGTTAAAAAAGGGTGAGACATGATTTTTTATTAGAAATTTTATTATGACCCCCCCCCCCCAAAAAAAAAAGAAGAATTTTATGATTAAATTTTGCTCTTGTCAAAATATCCTCCTTTAGCCTTGGTTACTGCTGCACACATTTTTGGTATTCATTGCAAGAGTTTCTAAAAGTTCGATAATTGATTCCATTCTTTTTTCTCTAAGAGCTCTTTCTTAATTTTTTTTTTTTTTTAACTCTTCTGGAGGTGTCTTCAAACTTTTGGACTGTAGTGTATATATATATATATATATATATATATATATATATATATATAAAACTTAAAATTTGACCAGTGCATTTTTCTATAGCAGAGTTTCCATGGTAATGAATTTCCGTTATATTTTTTCTTTCTGTTAGGTTTTGGTAAGGTTTATGTAAAACAAGTGAAATGTCAACAAGAAAATAAAAAAAGATTCTACCTCCTAACATAATTTATTCAGATATTTCATATCCATCATTTTCTTTTGTTTGTTTGTTTTGATTTCACCCCAAGAAAGACAATGAAGCCACCAAGATGAAGGGGTTGCTGAGTGCAGGAATATGAGAAAAAGAAAACTGTTATTAAGCAAGCGAAGAATACAAGAACATGAATTATGAAGACAAAACATAGCGATTGACATTGCATTTAAAATTTTGAAAATCAAAGTTAACTGGAAAACAAGAAGCCAGAAGAGTGTTTCACAAGTGCAGAGTGCAAGAGAAGAATCTTTTTAATTTCTTATCCATCTTTTACAAGCAAGTACAAATGAAAATAAAATATTGGAAGCTCTTTTTTTTCTGGTGCCCTGGCCACAAGATTGGCATCTACGTTCAAACCATTTACTGTCAAAATAGCTGAATAAAACTGCCATTTCTTCTCCAGCAGTTGCTTTTCTCACACTTTCCACCCATGGAACTTCCTTCCATTTACTTGCTTCCATGATAACTACAATTTTCAAAAATCACCATTTTCTATTTTGTTGAACCCTGTTCATCTTTTATTGTTTCTTCAATCCTCCTTATACTCTGTCTTTCCTCTCACTTTCACTCCATGTAAACTCCTGCATATTTATTAGTGGCATTTTTACGTTGCTTGGGTTGAAATGATTTTTTTTAAAAAGCCCCTTTTTTCTGGTATGTTTTCTTGAGAATTTTGTTTGGTTAAGAGGGTTCATATAAGAATCTGATAAATTCAAAGTTACCCTTGTTTTTTTGGGGTGGGGGGTAGATGTGTTGGAAGGCGGAAGGAGGGTCTAAAATAGGGTGTTGCAAAGTAATAGGATAGTGAGAATTATTATTATTCCAGGGTCATAGTAAGTATGAGCATTATTTTTAAAAAGCATTGCGAGAATGCCACTAAGACACAATGGGTTACTGATAGTGAAAGAATCTGAGAAAACAAAACATTATTATGGTGAGAGGCTCATAAAAGAACAGAAATTAAGAAGACAGAAGATGACGATTGACATTGTATTTAACTTTTTGAAAATCAAAGTTAACTGGAAAACAAGAAGCCAGAATAATGTTTCACAAGTGCAGAGTGCAAGAGAAGAAACTTTTTAATTTCTTATCCATGTTTTACAAGCAAGTACAAATGAAAATAAAATATTGGAAGCTCTTTTTTTTTTTTTTTCTGGTGCCCTGGCTACATGAATTTTAAGCTTGCCACTAGATTGGCATCTAGGCTCAAACCACTTACTGTTGAAATAGCTGAATAAAACTGCCATTTCTACTCCATCAGTTCCTTTCTCACACTTTCCACCTGTGGAACTTCCATTTACTTGCTTCCATGATAACTAGAATTTTCAAAAATCACTGTTTTCTATTTTGTTGAAGCCTGTTCATCTTTTGATGTTTCCTCAATCCTCCTTATCTTTCCTCTCACTTTCACTCCATGTATATTAGTGGCATTTTCACCTTGCTTGGGTTGAAATGATTTTTTTTTTTAAAAAGCCCCTTTTTTTTCTGGTATATTTTCCTGAGAATTTTGTTTGGTTAAGAGGGTTCATATAAGAATCTGATAAATTCAATGTTACCCTTGTTTTTTTTTGGTGGGGTGGGGGGGAGATGTGTTGGAAGGCGGAAGGAGGATCTAAAATAGGGTGTTGCAAAGTAATAGGATAGTGAGAATTATTCTTCTTCCAGGTCTTCTCTTTAACCTCCCCACAAGCCATGTGCTACACATTGTCATTGATTAATCATTGGATATAATGTTTTCACCTTTGGAAAGCCAGCCCATCAGTTTTCACGTCAGAATCAAAAGAGGAATGAGATTTGTAACAAAAGACGTTTCTGCTAAAGCAAAACTTTGGCTTCTCTCTGGAACTTGCTTACTTCTAGAATTCTTACAAATGTCTTTACTTCTTTTAGACTCAACACCTGGCAAGTAATTTTCTTGATTGCATATTTTGGGGTGGTTGGAAAAGCAAGAATTGTGAGGAAAAGTAAGGACAAATATCTGATCTTCTGATTGCAATGGCCTGAAGAGGTTTCGGTTCCTTATTAGACAACAAGTTTTGCAGCTTGGGGTGGTGTTGTCAGGGAAAAGGTTGAGACGTGATATGAGTCCATATTCTCAATAGGGCTGACAATCCACAGGCATAAATCGTCAAACTTCCTGCTTTTTCTTTGCACAATGAACAAATTATTTCTTGAGATTCTGGCCAAACAACACAGCATTTCTCATCCAATCTTTATTTTCATATTTCCATCTTTTCATTTGAATTCACCCTCAGACTTGTATATTTGTCTCTCCTTCATTTTCATTTTTCGTTGGAGTTCATTCACACACTCTCTCTCGCTTTTCCGTTTTCCATCTTTGGTGCATTCTCCCGTTTCCAATCCACTCCAAAATTTGTTTCTAATTTTCTTGCTCTTCTTCTACTGATTTTTAACATGTCTCTCTTACTTTTCCGCTGATGATGATGATTCTGTCTACTGCTTTTTCCACTTTTAGATCCATTCCGTTTTCTTTCTGTCTGTCCAATTTCACTTCCATCTCTCTCATTTTCATTTTCCAATTTTACTTTCTGTTGCTCTCCCATTTTTTTTTCCACTCTTAGACTTGTCACTTTTTCTCTTTTCACTTTCATTTATTTTTAGTTCTCTCTCCTTTTTCTACACTCACCCCCAAGGAAGGCTTTTGATTCTCTCTCTGAGTCAGATTCTGTCGCTCTATAGTATGGATTATTTCTCTCTCATTCGGATTATTTCACTCTCTCATTCGGATTATTTCACTCTATCATTCGGATTATTTCACTCTCTATCTCGTTTGTATTATTTCTCTCTCTGTCTCGTTTGTATTCTTTCTCTCTCTCTATCATTTTGTATTCTTTCTCTCTCTCTCTCATTTGTATTCTTTCTCTCTCTCTCTCTCATTTGTATTCTTTCTCTCTCTCTCTCTCTCATTTGTATTCTTTCTCTCTCTCTCTCATTTGTATTCTTTCTCTCTCTCTCTCTCATTTGTATTCTTTCTCTCTCTCTCATTTGTATTCTTTCTCTCTCTCTCTCATTTGTATTCTTTCTCTCTCTCTCTCTCTCTCGTTTGGATTCTTTCTCTCTCTCGTTTGGATTCTTTCTCTCTCTCGTTTGGATTCTTTCTCTCTCTCGTTTGATTATTTTCTTTCTCTCTCTCTATCATTTTGGAATATTTCTCTCTCTCTCTCTATCATTTTGGAATATTTCTCTCTCTCTCTATCATTTTGGAATATTTCTCTCTCTCTCTCAATCATTTTTGAATATTTCTCTCTTTCTCTCTATCATTTTGGAATATTTTCTCTCTCTCTCTCTATCATTTTTGGAATATTTCTCTCTCTCTCTCTATTTTGGATTTCTCTCTCTCTCTCTCTCTCTCTGTCATTTTGGAATATTTCTCTCTCTCTCTATCATTTTGGAATATTTTCTCTCTCTCTATCATTTTGGAATATTTCTCTCTCTCTCTATCATTTTGGAATATTTCTCTCTCTCTATCATTTTGAATATTTCTCTCTCTCTATCATTTGGAATATTTTCTCTCTCTCTCTATCATTTTGGAATATTTTCTCTCTCTCTTCATTTTGGAATATTTCTCTCTCTCTCTCTATCATTTTGAATATTTCTCTCTCTCTCTCTCTATCATTTTGGAATATTTTCTCTCTCTCTCTATCATTTTGGAATATTTCTCTCTCTCTCTATCATTTTGGAATATTTCTCTCTCTCTCTCTATCATTTGGAATATTTCTCTCTTCTCTATCTCTCTCTCTCTATCATTTTGGAATATTTCTCTCTCTCTATCATTTTGGAATATTTCTCTCTCTATCATTTGGAATATTTTCTCTCTCTCTCTCTATTTTGGAATATTTCTCTCTCTCTCTCTATCATTTTGAATATTTCTCTCTCTCTCTCTATCATTTTGGAATATTTCTCTCTCTCCTCTCTATCATTTTGGAATATTTCTCTCTCTCTCTCTCTCTATCATTTTTGGAATATTTCTCTCTCTCCTCTCTATCATTTTGGAATATTTCTCTCTCCTCTCTATCATTTGGAATATTTCTCTCTCTCTCTCTATCATTTTGAATATTTCTCTCTCTCTCTCTATCATTTTGGAATATTTCTCTCTCTCACTCTCTATCATTTTGGAATATTTCTCTCTCTCACTCTCTATCATTTTGGAATATTTCTCTCTCTCACTCTCTATCATTTTGGAATATTTCTCTCTCTCACTCTCTATCATTTTGGAATATTTCTCTCTCTCTCTCTCTATCATTTTGGAATATTTCTCTCTCTCTCTCTATCATTTTGGAATATTTCTCTCTCTCTCTCTCTATTTTGGAATATTTCTCTCTCTCTCTCTCTATCATTTTGGAATATTCTCTCTCTCTCTCTCTATCTTTTGGAATATTTCTCTCTCTCTCTCTCTATCATTTTGGAATATTTTCTCTCTCTATCTATCATTTTATTCTCTCTCTCTATCATTTGGAATCTTTCTCTCTCTATCATTTTGGAATATTTTCTCTCTCTCTATCATTTTGGAATATTTTCTCTCTCTATCATTTTGGAATATTTCTCTCTCTCTATCATTTTGGAATATTTCTCTCTCTCTATCATTTTGGAATATTTCTCTCTCTCTATCATTTTGGAATATTTCTCTCTCTCTATCATTTTGGAATATTTCTCTCTCTCTATCATTTTGGAATATTTCTCTCTCTCTATCATTTTGGAATATTTCTCTCTCTCTATCATTTTGGAATATTTCTCTCTCTCTATCATTTTGGAATATTTCTCTCTCTCTATCATTTTGGAATATTTCTCTCTCTCTATCATTTGAATATTTCTCTCTCTCTATCATTTTGGAATATTCTCTCTCTCTATCATTTTGGAATATTTCTCTCTCTCTATTTTGGAATATTTCTCTCTCTCTATCATTTTGAATATTTCTCTCTCTCTATCATTTTTGGAATATTTCTCTCTCTCTATCATTTTGAATATTTCTCTCTCTCTATCATTTTGGAATATTTCTCTCTCTCTATCTATCATTTTTGGAATATTTCTCTCTCTCTATCATTTTGGAATATTTCTCTCTCTCTATCATTTGGAATATTTCTCTCTCTCTCTATCATTTTGGAATATTTCTCTCTCTCTATCATTTAGAATATTCTCTCTCTCTCTATCATTTTGGAATATTTCTCTCTCTCTATCATTTGGAATATTTCTCTCTCTCTATCATTTGGAATATTTTCTCTCTCTCTATCATTTTGGAATATTTTCTCTCTCTATCATTTTGGAATATTTTCTCTCTCTCTATCATTTGGAATATTTCTCTCTCTCTATCATTTTGGAATATTTCTCTCTCTCTATCATTTTTGATCATTTTGGAATATTTCTCTCTCTCTATCATTTTTGGAATCTTTCTCTCTCTCTATCATTTTGGAATATTTCTCTCTCTATCATTTTGGAATATTTCTCTCTCTCTATCATTTTGGAATATTTCTCTCTCTCTATCATTTGGAATATTTCTCTCTCTCTATCATTTTGAATATTTTCTCTCTCTATCATTTTGGAATATTTCTCTCTCTCTATCATTTTGGAATATTTTCTCTCTCTCTATCATTTTGGAATATTTTTCTCTCTCTCTCTCTATCATTTGGAATATTTCTCTCTCTCTCTCTATCATTTTTGGAATATTTCTCTCTCTCTCTCTATCATTTTGAATATTTTTCTCTCTCTCTCTCTCTATCATTTTGGAATATTTCTCTCTCTCTCTCTCATTTTGGAATATTTCTCTCTCTCTCTCTCTATCATTTTGGAATATTTCTCTCTCTCTCTCTCTATCATTTTGGAATATTTCTCTCTCTCTCTCTCTATCATTTTTTGAATATTTCTCTCTCTCTCTCTCTATCATTTTTCTATATTTCTTTCTCTCTCTCTCTATCATTTTGGAATATTTCTCTCTTTCTCTCTCTATCATTTTGGAATATTTCTCTCTCTCTCTCTATCATTTGGAATATTTCTCTCTCTCTCTCCCTCTATCATTTTTGGAATATTCTCTCTCTCTCTCTTGGAATCTATCATTTTGGAATATTTTCTCTCTCTCCCTCTATCATTTTGAATATTTCTCTATCTCCCTCTATCATTTGGAATATTTCTCTCTCCCTCTATCATTTTCTATATTTCTCTCTCTCTATCATTTTGGAATATTCTCTCTCTCTCTCTCATTTTGGAATATTTTTCTCTCTCTCTCTCTCTATCATTTGGAATATTTCTCTCTCTCTATCATTTTGAATATCTCTCTCTCTATCATTTTGGAATATTTCTCTCTCTCTCTATCATTTTCTATATTTCTCTCTCTCTCTATCATTTTGGAATATTTTCTCTCTCTCTCTCTATCATTTTGGAATCTCTTTTCTCTATCATTTTGGAATATTCTCTCTCTTTCTCTCTCTATCATTTTGGAATATTTCTCTCTCTCTCCCTCTATCATTTTGGAATATTTCTCTCTCTCTCTCTATCATTTGGAATATTTCTCTCTCTCTCCCTCTATCATTTGGAATATTTCTCTCTCTCTCTATCATTTTGGAATATTTCTCTCTCTCTCCCTCTATCATTTTGGAATATTTTCTCTCTCTCTATCATTTTGGAATATTTCTCTCTCTATCATTTTGGAATATTTCTCTCTCTCTATCATTTTGGAATATTTTTCTCTCTCTCTCTATCATTTTGGATATATCTCTCTCTCTCTCTCTATCATTTTGGAATATTTTCTCTCTCTCTCTCTCTCTTTCTATATCATTTTTGGAATATTTCTCTCTCTCTCTCTCTCATTTGGAATTTTCTCTCTCTCTCTTTATTTGGAATATTTCTCTCTCTCTATCATTTTGGAATCTTTCTCTCTCTCTCTCTCTATCATTTTGGAATATTTCTCTCTCTCTCTTTCTATCATTTTGGAATATTTTGAATCTCTCTCTCTATCATTTTTGGAATTTATTTCTCTCTCTCATTTTGGAATTTCTCTCTCTCTCTCTATCATTTTGGAATATTTCTCTCTCTCTCTCTCTATTTTGGAATATTTTCTCTCTCTCTCTCTATCATTTGGAATATTTTCTCTCTCTCTCTCTATCATTTGGAATATTTCTCTCTCTCTCTATCATTTTTTGGAATATTTCTCTCTCTCTCTATCTATCATTTTGGAATATTTCTCTCTCTCTCTCTCTATCTCTCTCTCTCTTATCATTTTGGAATATTTCTCTCTCTCTCTATCATTTTTGGAATATTTTCTCTCTCTCTCTCTATCATTTTGGAATATTTCTCTCTCTCTCTCTATCATTTTTGGAATATTTCTCTCTCTCTCTCTATCATTTGGAATTTCTCTCTCTCTATCATTTTGGAATATTTCTCTCTCTCTCTATCATTTTTGGAATATTTCTATCTCTCTCTCTCTATCATTTTGGAATATTTCTCTCTCTCTCTCTCTCATTTTGGAATATTTCTCTCTCTCTCTATCATTTTGGAATATTTCTCTCTCTCTCTATCATTTTGGTATATTTCTCTCTCTCTATCTATTTCTCTCTCTTCTCTATCATTTTGGAATATTTCTCTCTCTCTCTCTATCATTTTGGAATATTTCTCTCTTTCTCTCTATCATTTTGGAATATTTCTCTCTTTCTCTCTATCATTTTGGAATATTTCTCTCTTTCTCTCTATCATTTTGGAATATTTCTCTCTCTCTCTCTCTATCATTTTGGAATATTTCTCTCTCTCTCTATCAATTTGGAATATTTCTCTCTCTCTCCCTCTATCATTTTGGAATATTTCTCTCTCTCTCTATCATTTTGGTATATTTCTCTCTCCCTCTATCATTTTGGAATATTTCTCTCTCTCTATCATTTTGGAATATTTCTCTCTCTCTCTATCATTTTGGAATATTTTCTCTCTCTCTCTATCATTTTGGAATATTTTCTCTCTCTCTATCATTTTGGAATATTTCTCTCTCATCTTTCAATTCTTTTTTGGAATATTTCTCTCTCTCTCTCTCTCTATCTATTTCTCTCTCTCTCTCTCTATCATTTTGGAATATTTCTCTCTCTCTCTCTATCATTCTCTATTTTCATTCTCTCTCTCTCTATCATTTTGGAAAATTTCTCTCTCTCTCTCATTTTTGGAATATTTCTTTCTCTCTCTATCATTTTGGAATATTTCTCTCTCTCTATCTCTATCATTTTGGAATATTTCTCTCTCTCTCTCTATCATTTTGGAATATTTCTCTCTCTCTCTCTCTATCATTTTGGAATATTTCTCTCTCTCTCTCTCTCTATCATTTTGGAATATTTCTCTCTCTCTCTCTATCATTTTTGGATATTCTCTCTCTCTCTCTCTATCATTTTGAATATTCTCTCTCCCTCTCTATCATTTTGGAATATTTCTCTCTCTCTCTCTCTCTCTCTATCATTTTGGAAATTTTCTCTCTCTCTCTCTCTCTCTCTCTCTATCATTTGGAATATTTCTCTCTCTCTCTCTATCATTTTTGAATATTTCTCTCTCTCTCTCTATAATTTTTAAATATTTCTCTCTCTCTCTCTATCATTTGGAATATTTCTCTCTCTCTATCATTTTGGATTTTCTCTCTCTATATTCTCTCTCTCTATCATTTGGAATATTTCTCTCTCTCTATCATTTTGGAATATTCTCTCTCTCTCTATCATTTGGAATATTTCTCTCTCTCTCTCTATCATTTTGGAATATTTCTCTCTCTCTCTCTATCATTTTGGAATATTCTCTCTCTCTCTCTCTATCATTTTGGAATATTTCTCTCTCTCTCTCTATCATTTTGGAATATTTCTCTCTCTCTCTATCATTTTGGATTTCTCTCTCTCTCTCTATCATTTGAATATTTTTCTCTCCTCTCTATCATTTTGGAATATTTCTCTCTCTCTCTCTCTATCATTTTGGAATATTTCTCTCTCTCTCTATCATTTTGGAATATTTCTCTCTCTCTCTATCATTTTGGAATATTTCTCTCTCTCTCTATCATTTTGGAATATTTCTCTCTCTCTCTCTATCATTTTGGAATATTTCTCTCT